AAATTCCAATTATAAGATCAACTCTTAGAGGTAGACGATATAAAATAAAAATAAAATACTAGTGCGTCTTGGATTGTAAAAGTTACAATTTTCACTTATCGACAGGACCGTATTAACGTAGGGGCGCAGCTGGGCACTTGCCTAGGGGTCCCATGCTAATCTATGAAACGTTCATCTCACGCGTGGATCAAGTACACTTTTTACTTATGATTATTTACTGATTTCGGTACAGTGATTAAACGGGAGTCAGACGCGCACGTAGGTCCATTTTTGTTCTATTTCATTATCGATATCTCTATGGTCCAGAAGGTGGACCAGTTTTTAATCAACCTAGCCCCAAAGAGTTAACTGAACTTATCAATAGATTTTAGAACACGAAAGAAATTTAACGAAGAAAGATGAAATTAATCGTTGTATCGACTATAAATCGTTGTGCGTTGATTCGATTAAATTGTTATTTAAATTCTGCTCATCTCTGAGAGAAATAAAGAATCTCGGCTCTGTTTCGAAGAGCTCCGTGACGAGAGCGCGAGGATTACGGTCCTCTGAACTTGGAACGACGATAACTTTTGCTTGTTGCTTGTCAGCAACGAGCACGTTTCTCTTCTCCCTTTCAGCAATGTACACGGTAATGCCGGTTTTATCGACAATTGCTCGAAACGCCTCGTGCAGACCGACGACTGGATACTCGCGAGGAAGAACACAAAGTGTACTCCTATTAGAATTTTAGTATTTCAGGGGAGGACTGCAAAGCATTCGATCTATGGTTATAGTTTATCGAGGTATCCGCTAATCAATTTTTTATTTAGCAATTATCCTTCGAATAATAAAGCACTGCGAATATCATTTTTCGATCCCCTTTTGAAAGTGTATTTTTCAATCTAGCAATAATTATTGCATCGATGATGCTTATTTATTTTTAAAGAAAATTACAAACCGCTAAGAAGGTGGGGCTTTTTTTACCTCGATATCACTTCTTCCGAGTCTTTACTGTAATTTTTTCGTTGTTTCCGGAGTAATTATTTCCGCCGTCTTCTAATTTCTATATAGAAATACTTTTTAGTTTCTAGTTGGAACGTTAACGCTAAACCTACCCACAATTGATCAATGTCAAATATTTGTCTAAAACGACACAATTATTAGCAAAGCTTCTGTCGCAATTTTTGGCGACATTTACCGAGATAATTAATTATTAGGCGTAGAAGTTAACTCTCCGCATTTTTCTATTCAATTATTTATAACTCTGGTTTAAACAGATATTTACTTGTCGTTTTGGTACATTAAAGTACCAACCTAAAGTATCAACCTAAGTCTTCAACCTGATCTCTATTGCAATTTATCCATACACAACAACAATAGACAAAATTTGTCGGTTAATGAACCTCGAACATATAGATATACTCTAATAGCCATCAGTTTGAGACTGAAGTATTTTAACGTAACAAAAGTGAGTATTTCTACATAAACTAGAATAATAAATGAAGGAATATAAAGTCACATAATTAATTTGTACACCTAATATATTGGTCAAATGATTCGTCCTTCTCTCCTTTAACAAATTTAGTGCCAAATCGAGTCGAATAGTTTTAGTACTTTTGCCGGGATAAAAATTCAGCTTTCATTTAAGGAACAATTTACGTTATTCGAATTTAAAACGATATTAAAACTCGTTAAAAAAAAATGTCTACGATGTTCAAAGTTTGTCTCGAAATTGTTGAAGATTAGATCGATGTTATAACCTCGCCAAATTTATTCCCATCATCGCCTTACTTTTAGAATTAATTTCTTCGGTTTCTTAATGTAAAGTCTTTCCACCCACTTTCAAAGAAATGATCTCGCGCCGCCTCACTCGGTCTGCACTTGGCGTTACGAATCTGGTTTATCCACCGGTTACGCGTGTGCTCATCTCGCTAACAATTAAAATTTTTCTCCCTATTTGCTTAATCGCTTGCGTGTACCTCCTCCCCCTCGTTTTTTTTTTTGTTCGTGTCGTTTAAATTCAATTCACATTATTAGGGTATAATAATTAATTAATTAATTAATTAATTATAATAGTGTCATTATAATTCGTAATAATATACAACATTTGTCAATAGATCATTTATCCTAAAACCCACCGCATGCTCGTGTCGAAATAATCATTTAGTCCTGTTCACTTTCTCTCTCTCTCTCTCTCTCTCTCTCTCTCTCTCTCTCTCTCTCTCTCTTTCTCTATTAACCCATTCTTGCTATCATTTTCTCTCGCTCAAAGTATACGCTCGCATTCTCTTTGCCGTTACTTTCTCGCGCGTCATGCACACTCTGCTCCGTTATTATACGAAACCACCCCCCTCGAAAAAAGAACCCCCTTCCACCATTTCTCTTCGCACACTCTCACGCCGTGGGACTGTACTGGCTTCACGCGTAGCTTATCTATCTAATTCAATGATTTGTAGTTGCAACTGTACCTGTCTGTGTACGTATGATCCGTGTACGTGTACGCCACTGTCGTCCCTTCGCCCTGATCGTCGCGTCCCCCACATCTTCGTCGCGTTCTTCGCCTTCCAGAAAGCAACGCGGGAGGGAGCGAAGAAAATTGAAAGGACCGAGTCGAGTGGACAGACCTTACTTCGCCGAAGGGCGACGCTTTCCCCCGTGTATGTATTAGTGTCTGTTTATACGCGCGTGCGCGCGCGTGTGTGTATGTAATGCATGACGTGTATACGATGACTTTGTACATATTCGAAAAGTTCTATATCCTTCACCAGAGACGCGCGTCTGAAGTGGAACCAACCCGAAAGCGCAGAGTTCAATGGACGTGATGAAACGCCGACGTTCGTGCCCTCTCCCCTGACCCTCGCTACACTCGGTCCGACATGGTGGACCAGTGCGTGTTCTCTTTTTTGAAAGCGTTTGCCTGACGTGCCACGGTCGAACACCCTCGGAAGGGTTGAACGTTACAGTCTCTGCAATTTTTGCAGCCACCCGACCTGCCGAACAACCCTGAACACAGGTATCATTCTCTCGGACTTTCTTCGACCGATCCGGCTTTAACAGATTCGGTTTAACGCGATCGGCGCCCGAGGACTCGACCGTGGCACGCCCGGTGCTGTAATTTCGGTGATCTCGAGCGGGTAACGGACTTTCGCAGCGGTTAAACGCGTCGACTATGTCTACGGTAGCTTTTTCTCAGCTTCGAGGAACGCTCCAATCGAGCCGCCTGATTTTCGCTTCGGAGTTTACGGTGCCGTCGGGTTGGATCGAAGCTCGCGTCGAGTTCCTCGATCCATCGTCGACCACGTCTGGCTCGACCATCGAACAATCCTCGAAGGAGTCGAGCAGGACGCGATCGACGAGCCGAAACGGTCGATCGGACTTACGGTTTCGAGAGGAATCGGGGCCGAAGTCGAATAAACGGCGAAGAGACGGAGAACGTCGGTCCGACGGATAAAAGACGCAGAGTGTTTCAAGCGGTTTCAGAGGGCGATTTTTGTTTCTTTTTTTTTTGTTTCTTTTTTTTTTTTATCATCGAATTACGATCACGAAGCGGAGCTCGTACCAACGTCGTGTCCTCGTCGTGACACCGGTCCAAGTGGCGAAACTAATAAATACAGACGTGTACGTGTGATGTGATACGTGTCACGATATACAACTAGAGCGATGTTCCTTTCTTACAGTTAAGGTTAGCGTACTACGAGCGACGCGTATCCCGCGCAACGACCTCGAATCTATTTCTAATATCCTCTTTCAAGTTTACCCGGTTCGAGTAGAGACTGGAACGAAAATGGAAATGGTGATCGGGGTATGCATAAGTTTTATAGGATACGTTCAGATAAAATTGCGTAGATGTCGATGTATCCTTTCCTTTTGTCAAGTTGCATACAAACAAATGAACTTCGTTACTCGTCGCTCGAAGAGTGTAGATTCCATTCGGTTAGTAGATTCATCGCAAGAAACCTACAAAACTTATCCACACGCCTAACGAAACGCGTGACAGATTCGAAGATCGCGACGACGATGATTCGATATAAAACCCTCGGACGCGACAGGCTACGCGGAGCGGACTCGGCGATCCTCTCGAGTCGGTTCCGCGCGTCGCGTCGCGCGCGTGGAATCGCGACTTGACGGAGATTCGAGCGTACGCTGTCGAATCGTCGATGTGTATATATAATGCCCCGTTCTGCTTGGCTCGAGAGCTCGTCAGCGAAGGAAGAGAACACAACGAATCACGCGGATTAATACAAAAAATAGGAACAAACGTATAAGCATACAATGAGGAACATATACATTTATCATGTACGAACGTAACGCGCAAGGAACTTTATACTAGAATGATTCATAATGTACGTAATCGGTGGATGGTTTCCTCTCAGTATGTCTATGTGCGTGTATGTGTGTTTGGTGAGCGTCGTTGTTTAACGAAATTCGATTAAGTAACAGAGTTTGCTCGCGACTGGACGCGCACACCGGGCGGATGAAATGGTACTGCGTTCCGTTGGAGAAAAAGAAAACGGTCACACGACGATCGGACGCGGGTACGGCGCTTGCGCGACTCGGGAGCTACGGGGGCCGGTGCGAGCACCCGTCGATAATTCCCGATCGTCGACGCGAGTTGCTTGAAAACCTCGGCTTCTGCGTTTTACGTGCAAAATACTTTCGCTCCCTCTCTCCTTTCACACCGTGGTCTCGTTCCGTTCTTAATATTAGTAACAACAAAGGGGTGAAACGTTACAACGACGTCCACGTTCCCGTTTTACTTTTCGTTTCCCCCAGGGGCAATCAGGGCCGGTGCGTTGGCGTTCGATCGTGGGCTCCGCGCTTGAAAATTCTTCGAGTCTAAGAGACGATTCGGTCTTCTGACACACCCGCATCCTCTCATATCTCTCTCTCTCTCTCTCTCCCCCCTCCCCAAATCCCAAAACCCTATTCGACATCATACCACACTCTCCTATCTCGCATACGCTTGCACAATACGTCGTACTTACCATATACCTCTTACAATAATTTTTTTTTTATATTCATTTATTCTATTAATTATATCAATACTGTTGACGGATAGAGATTCATTCACAGCTCCGGCACCAGAGCGAGTGATCGTCTATGCCGCAGCGCGTGGCGTTCTTTACTGTATTCGTTTCAACCTCGATTCGTTTTTCCCCCCCGTCCCCAAAAGAAGCGTTTCACCGCCCAGTCGATCTCCCTCTTTTATTTTAATTATACTTTTGTCCCTTGTTATCCTTTCTTTTGACATATTATGTTTTTTTTTTTTTTTTTTTATCACACGAGCTTAAAAGCTCGGGCCTCCGACTCGAGGCCGTGTCGCGGTCCTCGCCACGGTGTCCCAAGGGTGAGAGTTTTCGTCCGCTTCCGGAGCGTCCTCCGTCCTCTTCGAATCGAGACGAACTCGTGGACACCGGCGCGCCCCTCTCTCCCTCGTGTCCAGGGATTTAAAAAACGAGACTACCCTCGAACGGGAACAGTGCGTCCATCCTCGACCCTCGCGGTCGACGGAATCGGTCGCGGCGCGGGTTACCTCCGTCGACCGAACCGCTCCGACACCCACCGGACGCGCACCAATCTCTTCCAAGCGTCGTGTCTCTCTGAGTCTTACTCCGGGGTCGCTCTACCAGCGACCCGCGGCCTCCCCCCGCCCGGTTAATCGACACAGACGATTCATCACTTGTGACCACGCTGAGCGAGAAAGTACTCGATCTGCTGCAGGCAGATCAGCTGCTGCATCAAGCTCTGCAGCGGGTCCTGGCCCTGAGATTGTGAGGTCTGCTGGCCTTGCTGAAGCGGCTGCGTCAAGCCTCCACCAGTAGGCTGAGCAGCCGGCGGCAGCATCGTGCCTGCTGGACCCGACTGCTCGGCCAACAATTGTCGCTGAAGCTGTTGCGCCTGGTAGTGCGCCACCGCCACCAGTTCCGAGGATTCCATCCCCATGGAGGCGGCGGCGGCGGCCGCAGCCGCGGCGTGGCCCAATTGCACGTGCTGTTCCGCGTGGTGGCTCGACAGCCCGGTCTGGTGATGACAGGCCAACGGGTGCACGCCGACGTGGGACAACCGGCCGGCCGCGGGGCCTGACGAGGCCAGGTAGACGCCGGGGAGGTTAGAGTTCTCGCCCCGCTAGGGAGCCACGTTCTTGGGCCTGCGCCCCCGTCGCCCCCTGGTGGGGGGGCGCGGGGACTCCTGGCCTCACTGGCTCACCGCGGGGCTCTTCTTGTCTTGTTGTTGCTGACTGTTGTCCTGCGATCCCTGTACACCTGACTGCGCCCCACCCTGGCCGCCTTGCACACCCTGGAACACGACAAACGCGAGGTTAGTTATGAACTTTGGTTACTGTACAGGCTGGTCCACTGAACGCGGCCCACCTAGAGCTCTTTGCCGTCTCGAATAATGAGCGGAAGCGTTGTTCGCAAAGGTTGCACGGTTTCGAGGTGGAAGAGTCACGATATAGATGGTTTCTTCGTGAACGAAGCCATCGAGGATACGTTAAGGGTGGGAGTGGAGAATTCGATAGAGATTCCAAGACTATTTCGAAACGAAGAGTTCACGAGGTATTTAGTTGACGAGGAGTTGGAATCTTCTCAAGGTCTTCTCTATCCACGAAGAACGCATCAATGTATCGCGTCTCTTTGGAAGCTTTGCAATTCTTGCGAGCAACGGTTCCACCGATTATTCGAGTCGGTAAGAGCGTCGAAAGGTCGTCTGTGTCTAGTGAGCCAGCCTGTACTCCGAACGAGATCAACTGGCCGCTCAAGGCCACTTCCCCAACCGTGAATCACGCCAGGCCCGACTCCTACTTTCACGCCGTGACACCTCTCTATTTGAGCGACAGAGAGCGTGTGAAAGATGGAGGGACGGGGTAGCCGAACGCTATGGTAGGGATAGCTGCTCAGCGGCCTTGAACGGCCAGAACTTTCCGACCCCATGCGCAGTGGGGACATATATCCATCTGAATAAAGGAGTGAACAGTGGAGACAATGAAGACACAAGATGCCGTCGTGTATCCGCGTGTCGTTGACCAACGAAAACGATAATTACCTGGCTACCGGGTCCTCCCTGTGGCGGGCCAGGACCGCGATCTGGCGGCCAAGAGTTCCCCGGTGTCGGTTCCGAGTGGAATTGGTGAGGATGCGGGGGTGGTCCACCGGACGTGTCGTGACTGTGCGGATCCAGACTGTTCGCGGCGTCGTATTGCGTGTTCTCCAACCTCGTGATCAACCGTTCGTCTTCGTCGCCGAAATCGCCTCCCATCAGCGACGGTTCACCCACAACCATCACGTCCTAGACCGACGGAAAATGAAGGAAACGTTAAACGATCCGTTCACCACTAACTTCACCGTCGTGGCATTAGGAAATGCACGATAACTCGTTTACCATCGTTCTTATAGCAAAATCGCGAATGACAATATTTATCAACAATTAAATTTTGAATCTTTTTTGTTATATACAAGTTTTCGATAGGATCGATAGTAACCGAGATATCGCGACCCTAATCTGGCTAACTACATCTATACCGACTACTAGAAACTTGAGTTAGGCAGTATAAAATGTATGCTGACTCGTTTATCTTCGCGTTTGGAGCAAAATGGCAAATAACATCATGTATCAAGAACTAAATTTCGAATCTTTTTTGCCCCGGACAAATTGACGGTACAAGTCACATAACCGAGATAAAGCCGCTTAATCGCGAGCAAGATATCGACGTTTTAGTAAGTGTCTTCTCTGTTTGACGAATGGCTCACCTGTGACGCCAGAGAAAAATTAGGCCCCGGCGATCTCTTTTTGCTCGGCGCCGGGGGCGCGTTGTTCCCCGGGCCCGACGTGCTGCCCTTCCGCTTTCTTCTTTTGCTGGCCGGCCTCTGGGACTCTGAAAGAACAGATTCGCGATGAACCATCGGTGCTCAACGGAGTTGGCGAACGACGCTAGCCATGTAGCAGCGCGCTAAGAAACTTCAGACCGCTACCCAGCATTGGACCTTTCTTCGCATCAAAGGTCTCTGACACACACAAGCATGGCATGCATCGGTGGACAGAACAGAATAGATATGGCACGTTTCTAACATTACGTCTCTTTCGTCCATTAAAGCTACTTAGGAAAAGTCTGCACTCACGTAGGATCTTTACAGAGAAACACGCATTGCGTCGAAGTTACCCGATTTAGCTCGAACGCGCTCGGTTCCACGATTTCGTCGACCTTGACGGTGTAAGGAGAGGATAAGCCGCGATGGGGGGAAACTGGTTGGTCCTAGGTGAAACAGGAAACGCGGTGCACGCATACGCATGATAAAAACGGATGATAAGTCCGCGAAAAGAAACGCAAGAAGAAGGCGCACGCGATGCCGGGTCGATTGGAAAGTATCAAGGAGTGGCTGTTATCTACCGACAGCGATCACTCGCGAAACGGACCCTATCGCGAGCTAGGTCAGCACGATATTTCTAACAGGAGCTTTAAAAATTTATGATAAGCAGGAACGTTTTCAGCTTTTTTAATCGCGATTCGGTAAGTAATATGTGTATGCACAAGTTTAATAAGTCTTCGTGCTGAATTTGTTTGTTAATCAAACGGACTCTACGCTTATGTCAACAACTACAGTTTATTAATCGTTTGATTGGTTGCAAGTTGACCACGCATGTCAATAACAAAAATACTTGGTCTAAATGTAACATATGAAACT